AAAATGTCAAATAGAGTTTTGGCTTGAACGCGTCTTGACTCCGACTTTCTTGGACGTTTCAGTTTCGAGCGCTCAAAAATCTCACGGTACCTGTTAGTGAGCAACAATGGTAGTGGTCATTTGAATATCTTCTCCCTGTGTCGCAGAAAAATGCTTGTGTCAATGCAGATCACGTCAGATCCAGCGTACAAAAATGATGGGAAAACTCACTTTATTGTATTCTGGAAAATGCAGATGGCAGCGTGAGCGATTGAATGAAAATCATAAAGCTTTACTCGGAATGAAAACTGGTGATTGACCTCGAGGTTTCAGCGTGCCTCAACGATAATCTCCATGCAAGTTGAGTGAATTCTGTAATGCGCGTTGCCCTGAGCGACATTAAGGCGGCCCAGAGAGTCGAATAGACATTGAGTCTCACAACTTGTCGTAAACATCGCCATTCAGGATGCATACTTCAGGTGGAAGAGGTTGAAAAGGTATAGGAGGATGAGAGCTGGGAGAAAGAACCAGACAAGCCGAGACGCGTTGGGGGGAGCATGTGACACCCGATAGGCGATGACCAACGCGTGACAACTGTGACAACCCTAGGCTCATGTTTTCCCTAACTCTACGTCGCTGCACCAGACAGACAATCTCCCTGTCAAGGAGAGCCCTCCATACATCCGCAAGGCCTTTTTATCAACCTAATACTTGTAGAAAAGCACTCTATGAAGAATCCCAACCGAGAATCTGTCAAAAACGGGGCTATGTTCAACTGAACGAACGCAACTCTGTCGGGGTGAGTTGACGCGTTTATAGTTAGGAATGGTTTGCCTGATCAAGATGCAGGCATTTACTCCAACGTCGGCGGTACTTTTTATTCTTGCAGGTGTCGGATTGTTCTATTACTTCAAACAAGAAAAAGCACGGCTTGCCGAAGAGCGAGGTGGGGACCAACTTTTCTATTTCGGCGTCAGAACGCTCAGCCTCGTTTTCAAACAGAAAAGGAACGTGGACTGAAGTCGTACGGAAGACCGAATATCGGGGGTCCTTTTTCTCTGGTATCTCAGGACGGAAAACCATTTACCGAAGCAAATCTTCTCGGCAAGTGGTCGATGGTGTATTTTGGTTTCACGAACTGCCCGGACATTTGCCCAGCAGAGTTGGATAAGATGACTTCTGCTTTGGATGATCTGCGTGCGTGTCTATCACCTTAACTCCTAGTAGTCTGCTCATGTTTCATTAGAAAAGGAGCATGGCGATATTTTCCTTCCAGTGTTCATTTCAGTCGACCCGGCTCGTGACTCGCCCCAACAAATATCGGAGTATCTAAAGGATTTTCACCAATCCTTTGTCGGGCTTACTGGAGAGTATGCCGAAACTAAGGCCGTATGCAAGGCTTACCGCGTGTATTTCTCCACGCCACCCACCGCGGATCCGAAAGGGGATTATCTCGTGGATCATTCAATATTCATCTACTTAATGGACCCGAGTGGGAAGTTCGTGGACGCATTCGGCCAAAACATCGCAAAAGAGGACGTAGTGGGGAAGATTAACGAGGCCATTTCTAATTGGCAAAGCGAAACTGGCAAGAAGGTATAGGGAATGCCACACCATGGACCGTTTCCCGTGAGGCTATACTCGTGTGTAAATTCTTGTTTTTCTCTAAGGATCTCTAACCATGTCTGCATTTTTCGTGCAGGTGGCTCTCCAACGACAAACGCCACGAACAATGTCTGACTCCGAGTCATTCGCGCCAGGGACTTGCATTGTTGCCTATATTCGCCTAATACTGCCATACGCCCCACTCAGACCACATCAAAATAACTGAATTGCACAAATACCACCCATCCTAGTACGCGGGTCTCCACCATTCATATCATTACAATGTACATCGATTACACTAAAAATAATACGGATAACCCCTCCCAGATATCTTTCAGATACATCTTGTCGTGGTCCTGTTTCAGAATACCCAAGTCGATATCAGCATTAATGCCTCCAGCCGCCCTCAAGCTCCTACCTCCGGCCACAAGTAAACTGTGCTTTGAGGTACCGTCAAGTTTCGCACTGTATAGATCTACTCCTCCGACAAGCTCACGCCCATGCGAAAGAAGAAGACGCTTTACGAAACTGTTCGGTGCTTTCCAATCGGTGTTTTTGTTCTTCGTCCATGCCCCAGTATAAGCCCTTAACCAGACATTCGTGAAGCGCTTGGTTCGGTTTCTTACTGTTTCCGGTCTCGCCGTGTTCAAGATATGCACGTGTAAATGTGCCACTGTGTGCGGTGCGCAGCCGGTGCGGTCATAATTAATTGTTTAGCGATGATGCGTAGCTCTAAGGGGGTCTACTCACAAAACATGCCGAGCTCGCTAGGTGCATCAGACATGCCAAAGTATTCCCAGTCGACCAAACCGCATCTCATCTTGTTCGTTCCTGCTTCTCTAAAATCCACTAGGACATTCTCGGGCCAGGCACCTGTCAAGATTGGCAGTGTCCGATTCTTCGAGCGCAGTGCGCACTCGCTCAGAGAATATCGTGGCATCCTCCAACCCAGCACCGCTCAGATTCGTCAACACCATATTGACGAGATATTGGCGTATCCCGCTTAAATCGGAAAGGTTGGCCATGTACGCGATAAAGCTTGATGGTGGATCCGACGTCACATTGTAAAATTCAAAAAGATAAGCACCCAGCCCAGCTGCCACATCGTCCACATTGTCGTCTGGGCTTTGTTTAGCGAACAATGCTTCGGACAATGTTCGCATTTTTCCTAGGTCCTCGATCCATAGCACGTTCGCATCTTCATCGTGCCATATCAATCTGGGGATCCGCACGGGTTTTTCTGGGTCGACATTTTGCACAAAACGCTTCATTTCGGGAAATTCTTCGTCTTCTCCTGCGAGAATCTGGAGAGCTCTCTTCTCCACAATCTGTCTCTTGATTGACATCGGCGAAGTTGGATCTGCAGCAAAATGTGGCGGAGCATGCTTTACGATGACGCTTTTCAGACTGTATGGGACTCCGTTTCTAGCGAGTGCTTTCGTTCCGAGAGCTGAAATCGATTCCGGGAAAGTTACTCGCGCGGTGTGGTTTGTGAGGCCTCCTGTGAGCACTTCTACTGTGAAATTGATCTTTGTACTTGTACTCAGTCTCTGCTGGAGATAATCGGTGAAATCGAAAGATGACATCTTTGCTTTATGGTTGGTGACAATGGGCTTAAGAAACAATTTTTGGTGGCAGTTTTTCTGAGCAAATTGTCTTGAATTTAATGATGGCCGTTCATTGTGAGTCAGTTTCAAAGGATTTTTAAGCACAGGCCTCGTTACCGCAACAGAAGCTTTGAGGCTGTCACCTGTGTTCCATATACAATGAGATAGCAAGATAACGATTAGCCCGCACCTTCCAGACTTAGGTGCGTCTAAAAACAACGTCTGGTATGCAATCAAACTAAAATAGATACACCTTCCCAGATATCCTTTAAATACTCCTCATCCCCGTCCTGCTGTAGGAAGTTCAGGTCAACGCTACTGCTGGACGCCCCCGCTGCCTTCAGACTCCTTGATCCAGCGTCGAGTAATCGTTGTTTCGCAACTTCATCCAGTTTTCCTCCATATAACTTCACTCCGCGCACAAGATCGCGACCATGTGCCAATAGTAAGCGCCGAATAAAACCATTCGATGGTTTCCAATTCGAATTGTGTTCACTCTTCGTCCTAGCGGTGGTGTAGGCCCTCAACCAGACGTCTGTAAATTTCTTGATACGAAGTTTTGCTGTGGCTGACGTTGTTGTGTTCAGCATGTGAATATGTAGATGTGCGACTGTCATGAAAAGTCAAGCCGTTGAACCAGAAACCGCTTCAAAAGGTCGCTCACGAAACATGCCGAACTCGCTTGGTGCATCGGAGACGCCAAAATATTCCCAATCCACCAATCCGCAGCTCGTTGAATCTACTTTTCCGTTTTCTCCCAAGTTGACGAGTACGTTTTCTGGCCAGAAATCCACCATACCCAGACACTTCACGAGATCGGCAGTATCGGTTTCGTCGAAGAAATTTCGTACGCGTTCAGAGAGCTCCTTCGCATCGCCTACCCCTGCCCCTTCGAGATTCTTCAACACCACATCGGCGAGATAGTCGTATATTCCACTTCGATCGGAGACCTTTGTCATGTAAGCGATGAAACTTGGCGGAGGGTTGGTAGTGGTGTTAAAGAACTCGAAAAGAAAGGTACCAAGCTCGGCTCCAACCTTAAGTATATTTGCCTCCAAACCGGTATCTTCTTCCGCGAGTAATATTTCCGATAATGTCTTCAGATTTCCCAGATCCTCGATCCATAGCACGTTGGTGTCCTCGTCATGCCATATCAACTTGGGAATGTGCACTCTCGCATCGCCTTCACCGCGCCCTATTTGTTTCGTGTCGGGAAAGTCAGCGTCCTCACCTGCGAGGATCTGGAAAGCTCTCTTCTCCACGAGCTGCCGATCCACTGACATCGGTCGACTGGGATCAACGGCCATATGGGGAGGTGCATGCTTGAGCACAATACTCTTCAGGTTGTATGGCGCACCATTTCTTTCTAGCACTCGCGCTCCGATTGACGAGATGGGCTGCGTAAAAGTCGTTCGGGCAGTGTGATTTGTTAGTCCTCCAGTTAGAACCTCAACTCTAAAGTCGGTAGATCTGTTGCCATCGGATGTGGATAAGCATTGCTCAACGTAATCTGTGAAGTTGAAAGTCGACATAGATCGTATCGGCGATTGACTAGAGCACCGGATGAGTTGAGTAGGCAGTAGTAGGAACCTTCTACCTGGCATTGCCATGAGAGTGACTTACCTAAATATCTTGAATTGTTTGACCCACGTTCGATGTCGTTTAATTATGAATCTGATAAAGGCCCAAGACGTTGGTTGGCCACGCGTTCTAACTATGTTTTAATTAACTTCCAAGTCACAGGTTATCTGTATACATACGTATAGAATTTTTTTAAAAGTACAATACTGGAATGAAATATAAAATATATGACAACAGAGGGATTCGAACCCTCGCCCTTTCGGACCAGATTACTCCAAATGAAGCCTGATTCTGGCGCCTTAGACCACTCGGCCATATTGCCTCATAATTCGAGGAAAAAACAACAATATATTACATTAATTCGGAATTACCGGCAGCCTCGAAATCTTGCCCGCTTTGGCAGTCCTTCCTTCCACGTCACCTCACTCCTTTGCGCACCATCCATTATGCTACCTCATAATTCAATATCCAGCATTACAGTCGCTTCCGACATAATTCGACAGGTGTTTCACTCAAATTAATTTACGCTGAGGGGGACAATACCAGGTAGTACCTAATCATTTCCCCTACTTTAACCTCAGAGCCCGCATCACTCGTTACAACAATGCTAGACTTGAAAACCGTCGGGATTTCAAGTTGTGGCTTATGTGCGAATACGGGTTTTTAGCAAAACGCTTCCTACTGTCGGTCAGCCGCCCAGTTCCAGCTTGAAGTAACGCGCAAGCCACTCAGTCCCAAAATCGAGGACTTTTGGGCTGTATCTTTTCTTCCTTCGCCACTTCAACGAAGGCTATGCGCACCACTCTCTTTACGCATCGAACATACTTCTAAACGCACGCCACTCCTTCTCTCTGATGATTCCTTCCATCTTTCTGGCTGTTCCAGGCTTCCAGGTCCAGGATATCCAACCTCGAGACCTTCTCGCGCGTCAGGCCAACACCACCCACCTTAGCACTTTCCTCGCGACTGAAATCGTACTTCATGCGAAGCCTTTCAATCAGCTCAGCATCTGGACCTACATCGCGCTCGCCTTCATTGTCCTCGCTGTGTCGACTGTCATCGGGTATATGACGTATACGTGCTGCTATTCCGCTAAACTACGATCCTACGGAACCGACAATAGGGCCTCCAGACGCATCGGAGCTGTCCGACTGAACTCGACGAAGCCTAGTATCATCCATTGGGCTCGGGCTGGAAAATATCATTTTGGGGAGGAGAAAGGAAAGACTGCGGCGGGCGATGCGAAGCGGAATGCTTTGGAGGGTGATATCGGTTCGGAGAGCCCATGGGTCAAGAAGACGATCGTTGAGATGAGGAGACTTGCTATTCCTCATCGTAGGACGCAATCCGAAAGCGAGGTTAGTTTCGTCCGTCATCTGTTCTTATACTCTCTGATATTCGGGTTTCAAGGAAGCCATATCTCCATGCTCATTGAACGTCTCTGATAACTCGTTCGGTGTCCATGCTGCCGATCATCCGTTTGATGCAGACAACCACTGCCTCAGCTCGCTCCCTCTCGCTCACACTACTGAACGCGCCGCCACATATGTCCCTTTCCACCTCCCGCCGCCGCCGTCTTCGCCTACCCCAACTCACAAGGAATTTCTCGAGCGCCAGAAGCTTCAATATTACCGTGGCAAGGAAACGTCTTCATACTCCCCCGTATCACCCTCTCCTGCTCTGTTCCACGGGCCTTCTCCAGATCTCTCGACGTTGAACCCCTTTTCGACGCCCCAGATATCGCTCAAGAATCAGAGCCATGGCAAAAGCGCTCAGGACGTTCATTTCATCTCTCTCATCAACCCTTTCGCAACCCCTTCTACTAGGATCCGAAGGGACGATCCGAAGCTTTCTCCTATTGCCGGCGCCTTCATCACCAACTCGCCGGCGAGCGTTGTCTCTGAGAACCATTTCGTTCCGCATGTTACGCCCAATACAGGGGTCCTGCTCAGCTCGAATGGAAAGGCTAATACGCGATTGCTTTCTCTGCGACAGGCGGACGATTTTGGTGGGGATGGATATCGAAGGGATAATCTTCATCCTATATCTCAAGTCCGTTTAGGTCAGGAAAACGAGCAACGGGATAATTACTTTTAGTTACAGTACGCGGTTTGTTTCAATCTTCATTTCCTGCAAATATCAAAGCGAAGCGTCGTCTTTAACAACAAAAACTATGCTTGGACATTACAGCTGTTTGCATAAAGGTTGACACTCCGCCCTGCGCGCGAAAGAGAAGGAAACTCCGCAGAGTGAGCCCTAACCTAGGGTTTCTCGCTCAGCGACTGCGTTCCTCAACCCCACGGGCCTCGGTTGGC